CGCCCCGCCCGTGCGTGCCCCGGACTAGGGACCAGCTAGCTGTTCCATCCCTCAGTTCCGCCGCAGAGCCCAGCAACCACGGCGACGCTCCCTGGCTGCGGTGGGGCCCTCTGGAGGCCTGGGGATCTTCAGAAGACAGAATACCGGCTGTGGCCACGGTGTGGGTGACACGTTGTCGACCCTTCCAGCTCCTGGAGTCCCCTTAGGGGCCTGGCTGCAGCCATGAAGTTTATGGGAATGAATTCAAATCCCAGTCCCGCCACTTGCATGGCCCAGGCCCCTAGGTTCTGCAGGACACACATCACGTGGACGGGGTCAGCTCAGCTCGACCTTGGTACACAGGAAGCGCTCAGTGCACACCACACGCCACAACCTGCGCAGCGGCGTGGAGACCCGATGGCCAACCAACCATTCCCGCCCAGCGTGGCCTGCTGGGCCCCTGCAGCCCTGAGTGCTCTAAAGTGCCCCAGAGTAAACTGATCTAAGCTCCCTCAGACCTAGGGCTCTTTCTGCCCACAGCCTTCTCTTTTCTGAGCTCAGGAGGTCCCCTCTTCCCATAGTCCCTGGGTGTCTTTGTCTTTCTCCTCTGGCAGCCAGTAGATTTAGTTGTAACTCCTTTAGAATCTGTCACCCAAGACTGAGCCAAACGTTTGTGGCCCCATCAGAGCAAAGTAGGATGATAGCTTCTTCCTAGGACTGACTGCCCATTTGGCAACTATCAGGCATGGTGTGGTGAGCCTATAGTCCCAGCTACACCAGAGGCTGAGGCAGGAGATTCTCTGAGCCCAGGAGTTCCAGGCCAGCCTGGGCAACAGTGAGAACCTGTCTCCAAAGAGGAGAGGGGAGGAGAAAGAAAAGGAGAGAGGGGAAGAGAAGGGAAAGAGGGAGGGAAGGGGAAAGAAAGGAAGGAAAATTCTCCATATCTCCACTATTGATTCATAGTGATTGCCAGGGATTTAGCTCAGTGATTCCACCGCCTGCCTCACAAGCACAAAGTTCTGAGTTCAAGCCCGGTACCCCCCAAAAAAAGAAGCGCATAGTGACCAATATTTTAAACCCCCAAGTCCTTTTACTTGGTGCTGCACTCCAAAATTTCTACCCTTCTTGTGTTTTTGAACCAACCTCAGTTCTGGTCTGCTGAGGATGGGCCTTGGACCTCTCACCTAACAAATTTTTCAGGGTATGTGAGACCTAAGAACAGAAGAACTGGAAGTTAGCTTAACACCACCTTTAAACCAAGTGCATTTTTAAAAAACTGTCTTTTTCCTATAGACTGCACTGATTGAATTTGTGCATAACACATATGCATTGTGATCTCAAACTGCAACAACAACAACAAAAGAGTACACACAGCGGAAGGACCCGAGTTCAACCCCCGGTACCAAAAAAAAGAGTACACACAAAAGAATAGGAGGAAATATGTCCCTGGGTGTGTCGACAGTGGTTTTCTCTTAGTATTAAAATCAGATATTTTCTTTGTACTTTACCATTAATTTCCTTCTGTAATCTAGAACTCTGCTCCCAAAATAATGAAAAAACAATAATTTAAAAAATCAGATGAGGGGGCCAGTGTTTGCCTGACAAGCCCAAAGTCCTGAGTTTGATCCCTGGTCTCAAAAAAAAAATCAGATGAGCTGAGTGTCTTAGTTATTTTTTCTCATTCTGAGACAAAGTGCTCAACACCGAAAGTTAAAGGATGAAAGGTTTATTTCAGCTCACAGTTTGTAGAGGTCTTGGTCCAGAGTTGGCTGGCTTCAAGGCAGGGGGGCGTGGCGGGGGGGCGTCACAGAGGAGAAACAGTCCATGGCATGGAGGCGGGAAACAACAAGCAGCAGACAGCAAGAACAAAAGTGCAGCCCGCTGGCCTTCTTTCTGTCCGTCTATATTCCACCCAAGCTACCTGCCCTTTGGGTGGTGCCACCCACACCCAAGGTGGGCACCCTTAATCCCAGCATCACAACCCAGATCCAGCCACCCATAATCCAGTATCACGCACCTATGATCCAGTTACCTCCCAAAAGCCCCGCCTATGAGTGCATGGGGGCATCTGCACACAAGCCATAATGTTCTGCCCAGCCCCCAAAAGGTTTGTGCACATCCCTTTATGCAAAAGTCATTTAGTTCACCTCTAGGAGTTGCCAAAGTCCTAACAATTTCAACATTGCTAAAATGTCCAAGTCCAACATGTCCTCTGAGATTTATGGCAAACTTCTAGCTTGGAGACCCAGTAAAAATAAAAAGAAAGCTCAACATTTCCAGTACACAATGGCACAAGATAAATACATTCCAAATAAATTCCAAAAGGTACAATTAGGAGGAAAAAAAGGAATGGGACCAAAGCAAGACCAAAATCCA